GCTGGAATAAGCCTATTACCAGTATATAATGGTATACGCTGCCGGTATACGCTTTATACCGCCAGTATATGGTCTGTACCAGCATATACTGGTTTACAGCGCCGGAATAGGGTTTGCACCGGTGTACACATGTTTACACCGCCGGTATAAGGCTAATAACGGTATATGCCAGTCTATGCTAGCGGAGTAAAGCGTATAATGACATATATCGACATGAGCATTATACTGGCGGCTTTAATCGGTATATACTGGCATTAGCTTTATACCGACGGTATGAAGCATATACGGTTATATACTGGTGCGAAGTGTTTATCGATATGTGCTGGTAAAAGTCGGTTACCGGTAGACCGACACCCTGTATGCAGTGGATCGCAGTGCGAACCTGATTCCGGTAAGAGACTGTTGTCAGTTTGAATCGGTGAAGCGGTAATAGTGAAGCAGTGATTCACACTGTCACCGTTACATTCCCAGATAGAATATAGCAGACAAAGAAAAAGAATAATTCTATCAGTATATTTCTTTGAACACGCATTATATTATAGACTATCGATTGAAATCGAAAGAGAATGCTATGTACTGTCGTTATTAATTATACGATGGTTGTTTGTGAAAAAAGTGAATGACACTGACGGGTCGATGTGGTGGCGAAGTGTGGCGATTGCTACAATAAAAAGAACTCTGAAATAATCGATAATTGGACAAAAATCGTTAAGTAAAACGATTTTTTTAAATGATTGACAAACCAAACATTTTGATGCTGGGCCACCACTGGTAAATAATGGTATACATGTTATATGCATCGGTATTATAGCAATAAGCTTAATCGTATAAGAAAAAACGTGCCAAGTAAACAGAAATTTACATAATCAAACTTTTTCGAGTGAATAATAGTTTTAATGAGGCTTCTCTTCAAAAAAAATTCAGCATAATTAGATGATTAAATTATGGAAGTATACAATCATCAATATTAGGACGATATATAGGTTTTTCTTCCTCACCGTCTTCTTGTACTGACGCATGTAATATTGTGCTTTTATTATTTGTTCTTTTGATGAAGCACTAAGTCCTTGTAAAAAGTTGGAGCGTAATATAATATTAATCAACTAAAACCTAAATATGCATTTTTTTTATTATCGTCATCAGCTGCTACACTAACCAATTATCTTCACATTTAGTCTGTAGTAAAGCGAATGTAGATTTCAGATATTCTATGTCGCCAAGAGTTTTATTGTTAACGCCCTCTACTTTAAAGATCGAAAATTGTTCTACCTTAGTCGATCACAGAAAACTTCTCACCACTGCGACGTTGTTTTCACTGTGGAATACATATTTCCTCTACAAAAATAATGATTAAAGTGTGATTGTGAATACATGGGACTGCATAATTTTTTCGCTTGAGTCTTCTACAATTCATAATTTCAGTCTGATTATTCTGTTATGATACATAGATATATTTAAGATTGTGTGCAAAATTTCAGTCTGTTAGGTCACATGAATCGTTAAATTTTCTGATTTCTTTCAGAGCATTCACACACCATTTGTCGACCTGAATTTGGATTTTCACGTGAACGGTTTTGCCCTATGGTTTTACAAGAAAACATAAGTTTATATGGCAATGAGCAAACCCTATATGGGATAACACTAGCCTGTCTCAGAAGGCTTTCGACTCAGCTGACTTTCCCCATTCGTAAGCGAAGGCCGACTACTTTGTGAAGTTTGATTCGCACTGACAGAGTCCAAACTTAGATTGAAAATGGTTTTCGACTACTCTGAAAGAAATAAGAAAATATAACGATTCATACGACCCGACAGGCTGAAATTTTGCAGGCAATCCTAAATATGTCTATATATTGTAATAGAATAATCAGACTGAAATTTTGACTTTCAAGAGACCCGAACCAAAAGATTCTAGTATGTCCTATGTACATATGTATCTAAGTTTTCTGTTTGATCTCCAAAAACCTATCTACAGTTCTTTTTACGCCCTGCATACAATGTCGAGAATCGATTTGACGAAGTCTAAAATATACTAAACTCTCTTTAGTGTCATATAGAAAATTTTAGAGATAACCACTTCCTTTTATACTTGCTAATGGAGTTACTGCCTTGCTTGTGTAGATTGAATAAGTAATACTCATCGCTGAATTTTTTTGTATTTGTTCTTCATCCGTACGCAATCGATAATGTAGCCTAAAGAACAGAGTCGACTGAAGTTATAATATGTCTTTGTATATCGAGTATTTTCAACTGAATTCATCTGCACACTGAATTTGTTGGAATATTTTAACCGCTACTCAATATTGGATCAGAACAGTGTTTTATCCAGGATTTTTTCCTCCGGAGAAGCGATTTGAATTTCCGAGGGGGGAAAAATTATTTTCGGGGGGGGGGGGGGGGGGGGGGGGGGGGGGGCGGCGCCCCCCCCGGGCATCTCTCTGGATAAAACACTGCATCAGAAAACGGTAAAAAAAAGTTGTAAGATGTTCGCATTATAAAGAGAGAACCAATCTTTATTGAGTAAGGATTCGTTAAAAATTTTTTCCAGAGGGTAACTCTGTGATTTCACATAATATCAACAACAAATTTTATGCCACATTAAAGACAGTTTAGACAGTTGAATTGAAAGTCAGTGCTGGTGAGCAGTAAACTGCAAAAGCGCACTTTTACTTAGCCTTAAAATATGTAAATAGACAAAATAAAAGAAATGTAATGATGGACAATGCAATTTTTACAGATCTCCTCTTTAAAGTATGAATCGTCAAAGTAAAATTGAAATTTCCAATTTAATTTCTGCTTTATCAAACATGAATTGACGAAATTGATTAGTTAGAAAATAAAATATTTTTGGGATTATTCGTGTTGACTTAACAGATTCAGATAAATATTGCCGTCTTTTATAATTACTATGACTTAATTAATTTTTCTTACTTTATCTATCATTTAGAATACACTGATTCAAACCCAACTACTTAAGAAACAACCATATTATCTATTCCAGATTATGACATTACTTTAACATCAACTTTATATTAATCAAGAATCACTATTTCAAATATTTTATTACTTTTTGATTTCACTTGTTATTTCTGTTTTTTAAGCATATGAAATCTTGAATCCTAGCATTATCTGACCATTCCTTTCTTTTTTCCAGTGCACTATTGATAATCTCTATCTAAAATAAAAATATATCAATATAAAATAAAATTGAGAACTATATTGTCTGTCATGCATTGATTCTACTATAATAATTGTTGAATTCATCATTGCACCATTCCAAAAACACTACACAGATTTTAATTAACAAGTATATGCATCTATGAAAAAAATGAATTTTAGTTTTCATACTATCACCATCGATTGACTAATAGTTTCTATCTAAAGGTTAGCCTTATTTTCAAAACAATTTACGGATTCTAAAACCCAAGCTTTTCACAATATTTTATGCGGTTTTGTCAATTGTACCATTTAATTATTGTCTATTAAAATAATATTGATTATTTTGACCAACGGTGTTCCAGAAGAATACATTTGTTTTATGTTTAATCTGTTTTCTTTTGTGTACTTTGAATAATCCAATAAAATGCAATTCAAGAAGGCTTGTTTTTCTTTCTGGATAAATAATTCAATTGATTTGAGTGATAGTATTTTTCTTCGATATTCAAACATGCTTTGTTCTTATATTAACAGTAGATATTAATTTTTCTAGATCATAGAATGAAATTTGAGAATATAACTGGGTAATCTATTAGCAATCTTTAGACATAATGTACTTTACATTATATGATTTCAGAATCGAACCAAATTGGAATAAAGAAAAACTGATTTTGCTTATTTGTTCGGTGTATTCATTACAATTAAAAATAGAATAAATGTGAATTTAATCATAGCTGGCATTCTGTTGATCTAGAATCAAAATTTGTCTTTGGAGGAAAAATATTAAAAAAACATAGTCGCCTAGTCCACAAGTGATAAACAAGGAAGTAGTTGATATCGATGATGAAACTAGAATCGAATTTCGTTTTTGTTTTGATGTCCTCATGATATGTAATTCTGGAGTAATAACTGTTGATATTCGCAAAAAGTTTTGAATTACCGGTGAAGTCAGATTTATACTAACTTTTGTACCAGTTCCTTCTTAGTATCGAAGTCGAATGTGTGAAAATTAATCATGATGTCAAGAACCTTTTGTACGTTTATCTCGAAGTTTAGCTCAATAATTAGAGTATTCATTCTGTCACAATAAGAGATAATTTGTATAGAATATCGATGTCTCAAAAGGAGCAGATTGTGATATATGAAATATACTTAAGTTGTCATATCAACTATCCACAAGGAAACGAAATACTTTGTCACTTGCATATATGAAGTACAGTTATCGATATTATGTTGAAGATTAAGTGAAATGTAATTGGAATATGAGCCGTTATGCAACATAGAGCTTTTTTTAAAAATTTGATCGAACAACTGTCACCATCGACATAGTAGATCTCAATGGTTATATACATATTTAATAGTTCTATGCTGATTGTTGTTTTTGTCCTCTTTCGTTAATGGTATTAATAGCGATTCATTGAAAGTTTGAATATGGCGAGTTATTTCTTCTATTTTCTAAAAAATACTATCTAAGCCATAGCCTAAGATACAGGTTTTTAAGGATCTATAAATGATCTTTAATCTAGCAATCAAAATTACGTGAAAAATGTTTTTTTTATAGCTAATTTTCAAAAGCATTGACTTTGAAAATAACTTGTGAAGTTCATTTTTTTTATGCGCCACTCATCACGTAAATTAGATATTTTTTTTTACTTTTTTCTTTTCTATAATAATCTTTTCGAAAAATCGATTTGATTGACTTTCCATTTCTACTAAAATTATATATGTATTGAACAGAAAGGAGAAAATCTTTTTAATAAAAACTATTCACATAGAACAACAAAAAAAGAAACTTCATATGTAACAATAAAATAGAAGAAGAAAGATGAAAAACTTTTTTCAATTAATTAATGTATTTTATTCATATTCGTAATCAGTTTTTTATGCCAAAAGTCATTATGAATAATAATAGCATCACATTGTATAGAAAAATGTTTTATTGGTATATTAGTAAAACGTTTACTTCCTGAATTGTATTTAAACCATTTATCAACCATAATTTCTGTGATGATATTCGGTCCAATACCATATAATTTTTCAATGATATCAGTTTCTGGTATATACATATAAACAGCACGAAATTGAAGACGATGATCACGAAATAGAAGAACAAAATGACGAGCTTCACTCAATTCAATTTCCTATATTTAAAAATCATTTGAATTTTTTTGAAAGATCAAAACATGAAAAACTTACTCGAATAATAATTTGACGCTGTCTTTCATTAGCTGGACCAGCAAGTGCAACTTGTTTAAGTGAATTAAGTATTGCTTGCTTATTCGATTTCGTTGATAATAATGTTTGACTTCGAGCTAGACGTGCTCCTCCTTGAAAAAACAAAAAAAAAAGCAGACATCATTAATATTACTTCTAAAACCTTCTTACCTGTTACTGATGTAGCTAATGATGTCATTGATGCACTAAATTGTGAATCCTCAAATGTATCATCGATTAAATTTAATGATTGTCTTTTAGGTGTTTGTACTTTCGAAAGATTCATTAAACTTCCACCAAATAAATTTGTTGGCATTGTAGTTTTTGAGTTTAATGATGTAAATGACTCATAATGTCCATTAATATTACAAATACTTGCAGCTCGATTCATTTTTGATTTTGATGCAGCTGTTGGTGCTGTTAAACTAGGTGACATTAAATCAAAACGTGTCATACTACGTTTAGGTGTTTGCATGAAATTTAGTAAACCATTATAAGTAAGTTCATCATCAAATGAAAGAAATGATGATATTGAAGATTTTCGTTTTAAACGATTACGATTACGAGCTGCAGCAAAATAATAATCATTTGATAATAATGGATCAGTTTCGAAACGTTTTTGTTCAATATGTGCTTGTAAAATATTTGTACGACGTTGATCATCTTCTTGCCGTCGTTGAGATAAATATTCTTCAAATAAACGATATTCATCATAACGTTCAGCTGATTCTGCTTGTCGTTCTTGTTTTTTCATTAATTGTTCTTCACGACGTTGATTTTGTCGACGAAGTAGATCATCTTTTTTTGCTTGCATTCGTTCAAGATCTTGTATCTAATGTATGAAACAAAAAAATATATATTTCGTTGATTAATTCGATTCTTACAGTGAGTGATGTATCAAGCGAAACAAAAATTGGATCTTCATAACATAGATTATCATCAATATCTAAGTGATTATTTTCGAATTCTAAATAGGAAAAAAAATGTTTTATTTAATAATAAGGAACTAACAATAAATTTTATCTCCTACCAGTTGATTTCATATCTGTTAAAGGTTGTTGTTGTTGTTGACGGTCTGTTGAAAATCGTTTTAATTTATCTTTAATATCATTTAATTCTGCAGTTAATTTATTTAATGCTGGTGTTGAATGATATTGAGTTTTATTGTTATTTGCTAAATTTGACATTTCTCCTATATGTTTAAATGATGTTGTTGGTAATGTTGATTTTATTTGTATATCAGGCATTTCGCAATCGAATTGTTTTTTCCATAATTCTCGTATAATTTGTATAATAGCAAGCATTTCTTCTTTGCTTAATGGTTTACTTAAATCAATGATAGCTGCATTTTTACTAGTTGATTCATTAATATCATCATGATTCGTTGTTTTTGTTCCATCACTTAAACCAGAATCACTTGGTGATTCTTCCATAAGACATGGCAATATTGATGGTAATGAATGATGATGATGATGATGATGATGACAAGAATTATAAACATAAGTTGAATTTGACGACGATAAAGATTCGTCGTGCGGATGATGATAAACATTCTGAAGATTGACAAAAAAAAAAGAAAATCAATAAGTTCTTAAAAGTAATATTTTTGTCTTAGTATTTACCTCAAGTGCTAGAGGTGAAGATGTAGGAAGAGGAGGAGATGATGATTGATCTCCTACTGTTGTAGAATTATGCACTTGATCCTGTAAAGGAAGTGTAACAAGAGGAATAGTTGTTGTTGAGGATGAAGTTGACGCGGACGATACATGACGACATAAACGTTGTCTTTTAGCATCAAGTAAAGCTCTAAGAAAAAGAAATCAATCTATATAACCATATATGAATTAAGATATTGATCTTTTATATGTTTTTTATGTCATGTCTGGTGAATATGTATATGCTCAAAATCATATACTTAATCAAGTTGAATATCTGGTCTATTTAGCTATTTTATTACATATGATTTCATTTCTAATGTTCAATTTATGCATATACATATCAACTGTCATGCAATGTCTGCGTATTGAAGGATTCTTCATTAATCCTCCTTTTGTTGTTTGTTCATTTTCTATTGTCTTTAACCACATTATTATTATTATTGTTAACATAGACTTTTTGTAAAGAATCAGACAGTCAATCGCTACAACTATTGTAAATTCAATTGAGTGATTGAGTGAGAGAGAGATGAATGTACATGCACACAACTAAATCACACGCAATATTATATAATCTTTTTGATGAATTCAAGAAGAAGAAAATGTTCGAGAAAATATTCAATATTGATGCCTATTGTAAAAAGCTTTGCTTATTATCACATTCTTCATAATGGGAGAACATTGCAATGCATTATATTATTACTATTATTCAATTCAATGAAGCCATGTAGAAATAATCAAATAAATATATACTTATACATATATGAAATTGAAGATGCATAAGAAAAAAATAACAATTTTTCTTTCTCTACTTGTATTTTTACCTGACACGATTTAATTTTTCTTGTAATTCATTATTATTAATATTATTCGATGTATTTAATAATGAATCTGAAGTCATTGTAGTAGTTGTGTTATCCAAGCGTGACTTTGCTTGTGCGTGCCATGTTGTCGTATGAGAATCAAAATTTGTATTTGTAGATATATTAACAATAGGTATTGCTGTTGTTGTTGAGTTTTGACAATCACATGATGAAGAATAATATTCATCAGATTTCTTTTGATAATTTCCATGACTTTGAGCAATCCAACGTGATACATAACTAATTGGTGTTGTTACTTCAGAATCAGTTGTAGTTACCACAGTCGTCATTCTCGTCCGCGTGTTCAGTTTGATTTCTCCTTTTTTTAAAAGATATCAATATGATTCACTATCTAAATATGATATATTTTACATACAAGACTGTATAAAATGATATTTGGCCCTGGTTTAACAGTTGTATATTAACATGTCACTAACAGGAAAAGTAAGCAAGATGAATATGTACATATATGACCAAGCAAGAGAGAAAGAGAGAAGAAAATGAAAAGAATGACACACACAGACAAAAGACGGTATGGGAGCTATTTGAATAAGATTACCCTCAGGTGAGAATTCGCATACATTGAGAGAGAGAGTGTGTGTAAGGGTTAGGTCTATGTTGAGCTCATCGTTTGTTCAACCCAAACGATTGACCACTAATTCGTGTATATGTATGTATGACGTGAAGAAATGATGCAATCAAAAAAAAAAAAATTTGATATTCATGTGAATAAAATAAAAAATAGGAGTGTATAGTTATTCTTTCTTCGTTTTTTTTTCTTATTTATTCATAGAAGAGTCTTTTCTTCGGTGTCATTTTAACAAGGCTATTGTTATTACTAACTTACACTAGTGACAAATTATCAATGTTCAACAATACAATAAAGTTCACAAAGACAACAGACAGTAGTTCATGAAAGAAAAAAGAAAATGATATCACTATAATTTATATCATTACAACTATGTTAGAGTATACATACATAGAGTGACAATCAAGGTAGTGAAGACCTTGCTTTCTATCTCTTTCTCTCTCTCTCTTTCCTTCTTTTTCTCAATGATTTTTTGTTAAATGATGATACTCTATCGTTCTCACTTAACAGACAATGATAGATGTCAATAACGCGAAATTTTCCTTGCAGCAATATTTTCTCCATGTTTATTTTCTAGTTGATCAATTTCAATTTGTAATATGCAATTAAAAATAGAAAGAGATATGAAAGAGTGACTGTCCTATTACTTCAATGAGATCAATGTCTTCAATAAGTGTGTTTTTTGTTTCGGACTCGTGCATAAATACTTGTACATATATCATGCATACAAATGGCCTTCTTCTTTTTTTTTCAAAGTGAAGCAAAACGATGAGTTGTTTCGAGTGTGTGTAAAGTAGGTGGAGAAGCAAAGGCGAAAGAAAATGACAACAGAATTTCAAATGTTGACTATGAACAGTGACGATCGCAAGAGAAAAGAAAACGAAAGAAAAGGTATATCATTGAATTTGATATTCGAATATGTGTATTTTGTTTCAAATAAATGTTAAAATAGTTTGTCTTAATGAAGAGGAAGAAGAAAAAGAAAAAGAAAACATGTACCATTCATTGATCTTTTTAGATCTATTTTTATAGAACAATATTTGACCTTATATGTGTGTATATCTTACGGTATTCAATGGTCAGTTGAGTGTGCGTGTGTCATCGTTCTATTGAATACAAATCAGTGTCGCGGTCGAATGGGCCGTCGACTACAACTATTCTAAACATAGGCCATAATGAGATCTAATCAAGAGAAGATATATAATGATTTGAGAATAATTTGTATACGTGTATGTATGAGTCTCTGTTCAAATCAGAGTCCCTCATTTATTTGTTACAGCTACACGTGTGAATATGGACAAGGAGGTCGGCAGATAGGTAAGATGCACCTTATATGAACACAAGGAATAGTATGAATGAATGAATGAATGAACATCAAAGAGAATGAGAAAAAAAAGGAAGAAAAAAAGAAAGTGTTGGAGACCGTGCATAAAATGGTTAGTTTAGTAGAGTCATGAAATATAACAGTACTTGTACTAAATATAACCTTGTATTTTTGATTCGGATTTTAAAGTGTGGAATCACATGAGTATATACAAATGTTTACAATATAAAATGGTCTAATTTGATAATAAAAATGTGAACTAATTAAATATAGATATGAATAGAGTACAACTTTTTTTTTTGTTGCAATTGACACGAAACATGAACAGTAGACCTAAGCATGTTCTGAATAATATATTTTTCTTTTGATTATATTCTATGGCTTTTCAATAAAAGTAGAATAACTCTCTGAAATGAAATGAATTCAATGATATTAAATGCAATTCATGTTGATTCACTATTGCTTGAAGTTTTCATCGTAGAAACGAAACAATTGACGTAAAATAATAGTTATTGCGATCCAGTTTTTTTTTTATCAAGATGTTTTTCACAAATGGATCTTTCATTTTTCTATGAACTGATAAATAGTCAAAAAAGGTTAGAGAATAAGGTCAATCTGAACAAAAATAATATATTTCAACTGAACATTTTAGGCTCTACAAAATGAACTATCTATTAATCATTTTTTTTTTGTCTGCTTCGATTCTTGGCAAATTTCTTTTTTCATGCACATCTCCTTATAAAGTACGACTTTTTCATAGTACACAGCTCATAATTCAGCGACAATATAAGCAAAACAGCTGAAATTTGATGAGACAAGTCAAATGCACCCAAAATTTCAATCGTACCGAAAAAACTGCAATTCAATCAATCGATATTCTCTATAGTTAAATAGAAAATAAAATTTGAGAAGAATAATGCTGATCTTTGAAAATCAATTTTCACTCATAGGTTATTCAAAAACTAATTACAAAACTTTTTTTTGTGATTCTCAAACTGTTGCCAACAAACTTCATCGAACTAAATAACATTCTAGACATCTAGATCTACTTCATATTACGAATGTTTTTAGAAATATTGTATAAAAAGAACTGTTCTCTCTACAACTTTATCTATCATTTACTTCGTCCACTCAATGTTTTTTCTAATTCGTTTGCTAATTGTTCACTTCTCAATCTTTTCGTAATTGCATCTCATAATTTCGCCTATGTCTTTTCATATGATATCTTCGTATATTTTGCTCTTTTTGCAGGTTGCGACCACCAGAAATACAGAGATTGTCTAGTTTTTTTCCAATTCCTAATAGTGTCGGCAAATTACAGAACGAAAGAATTATATGCAGAATAGCAAATATTACTTGTAACGAGTCATCTACGATGGTAGCAAAAAATAATTCAAAAACTTTTTCATGATTTTGAAATCCATTATATCTTTGGAACAATAATAAACAAAAAGTTGAAATTCTAGCAAAGAGTAGATCTAGATATCTCGTATGTAAGAAAATAATATTTAGTGATATAGGTTAAAATATATTTTGAAATTCTGATGAAAGATATTCAAAGATGATGAATAACGTTGCTGTTTCACAATTAATTTAACAAAATGTTTCTTTTTGAATTGGTAAAAATATCCTTTGTTCTCGATAGCAAACGCCTAATTCACGGAGAAATTTATCTCTTAGATACGCAAATATATATTCTTTCTAATCATAGATACATAATAACTAGCAAGAAAACTTGGGAAATTATTTAAATAAAATAAATAAATTGAATAGTATTTTTTTATTGACAATCACTATGGTTGATGCTGTAGATTTTCATATGAAACGTAATAAGAAAAAAAAAAGAGTCTATTATATCTGATAATATATTGCTGAAAAATAAGATTCTGACAACTAGTTGTTTATTATTTCTTGATGATGTCTTTTCTGTTGAGTACTATTCTCATTTGTTGTAATGAAGTGATTATTTCTTATAGATATATATATATTGAATAAACTAGACGAATCATACAATTATTAATTTTGTTTTTGTAATATTGTTTCTTTTTATATCTCTATTCTCACATTAACTTTGACGTACATTATTACTATGAACATATACGACATCTATGTTGATAAGACTATTCTCGGATCGAGCAAAGATAAGTTATTTATAACAACCAATAAAAAAATCCAAAACAAAAACAACAACAAAAGAGAGAAGAAAAAAAAGAAAATAAGAGTTTCTCATCTCTTTCGATCGTTTTTTTCCTATCGTTCTTCTCCTTGGAATCATTTATTCTTTTCTTACTTTGCGTCATTATATTATTCATATTTCTTCGTTAAACAACAATAATCCGTTATGGATTCAGTAACAACACCTGGTACATTAAACATTCCACAAATTGTATGTAAAAAAAATATATTCTTATTTTAACATTAAATCAAAACTAGACTAAAATAGATTCGTAGTGAAACACGTTTACGTGAAACAACATATCGTTTGATCATTTCTCAATTATTTTATGATGGTCATCAACAATTAGCTGTATCACTTTCTAATCTTCTTCAAGTAAATTGAAAATAAATAATTTTCTTGTTTATCTTTGAATTTTGTGTTTTTTTTTATTCTATTATATAAGACATCACCACCATGTCCACCATCTGATAGATTAACACATATTGTACGACTTGGTTTAAAAGCTGAAGAAGAATTAGAACAAACACGTAAAGCATCAATTGTTGTTTCTGATAATGTTCAAGATATTGGTAAATATGTTCTTTTAAAAAAAAAAAAAACATTTTTTTTTTGTTAAACTTAATTTTAGGTCTCGATTTTGATTATCAATCAGATTCACCTATAACTAGTCCTGATGCTGGTTCATATGAAACATTTTATGTTACTGCTCATAAAGCACCTTGTCGTGCAGCTGCTTTTGATGCAACTGGTTCAGTTATTGCAACTAGTTCAGCAGATGCATCTATTAAAATTCTTGATGTCGATCGGTAAACGAAAGAGGAAACAACAACAAAAACAAAACATTTTATTTAATTTAAATGTCTTATAAATTTTAGAATGTTAATAAAAAATAATTTTGGTCTTGATTATGCTCCATCATCAGTTGAATCATCATCAGATAATCATCCTGTAATGCGTACATTATATGATCATGCTGATGAAGTAACTTGTTTAGATTTTCATCCATATGATCCAATACTTGTATCTGGTTCACGTGATTATACAATAAAATTTTTTGAATATGCTAAACCAACAACTAAAAAATCGTTTCGTTCAATAAATGAAGTTGATCAAATACGTTGTTTAAATTTTCATCCAAGTGGTGATTGGCTTGTTGTTGGTACACAACATCCTGTAACACGTTTATATGATGTTGAAA